CGCAAAAAAAAACAAAAAAAGCTGTGAGTGTGCTAGAGCAAAGTGTGTTTTGTTGTTAATGGTGAAAGTCATTGCTACACTAGCCGACCACGAAGAAAAAGAAGCAGAAGAATATGATTTAATTAAAAAAAAAACGCAATCTAGTAACTGGTACTTGAAACGTTCAGCGTCTAATCGTAAAAATGAATAATACATTCAGCCGGATGAAAAAAACAACAGATTTTTGGTACATGTTTGAGTTTTTGGTGACTGTGGGTATGATAACCTATAGAGCAGTGTTTGTGCTGGATGTCCTGAGGGCTCTCTGGAGGTACGGAGCTCTTGTCATCACTCTCACTGTCTCCCCCAAAGACTCAGAGTCCTGCCTGGACTTGTCTCCCACATTGTCACCTTCTTGGATCCTTTCTGATTTATTTTCTCCCCTCCTTTCTTTCCTTAATGTTGACTGATAACCTCAGCTGCTATATCTACATGACCTGTAATGAAACGAGCCCAGTGTCATCACCTGGTCAGACTGACCGTCTCCCATGGACTGACGGCTCGGAGAGGTGTCCTCGATCCATGTCCTCTGGTTGGAGTGATTGTCTCCCATGGACTGACGGCTTGGAGAGCTGTCCTAGATCCGTGTCCTCTGCTCGGACTGACCGTCTCCCATGGACTGACGGCTCAGAGAGCTGTCCTAGATCTGTGTCCTCTGCTCGGACTGACCGTCTCCCATGGACTGACGGCTGGGAGAGCTGTCCTAGATCCGTGTCCTCTGCTCGGACTGACCGTCTCCCATGGACTGACGGCTCAGAGAGCTGTCCTAGATCCGTGTCCTCTGGTCGGATTGACAGTCTCCCATGGACCGATGTCCTAGATTGGCCTGCTCTTCCTGTTTGTGCTGCTGATTTGTGAGCGTGGTCTGGGAGAAAGAAGCATTGGAGAAGAACAATTCCCCACCGCTGGCGGGGATTCGCCAGGCGGCCCGCTAACAACGAAAACAACAGGAGAAGCCTGATTTTAGTGGATTTTAATTTTTTTTTTTTCCTCGGTAAACATCTCTAAAGATGTTCCCACTGCTTAGGAGTGTACCCATGGTTACAGCCCGAGAGAGCTGTAGGCAGAAGCCTTAGAACTTCATGGAAAAACAAATGTAACATGCATTGTACTGTACTGTATTGAAATATTTTACATGAATGAAGCAAGTATTCTGACAATAAAATTTAAAGCCTTCAGTGTGGAGGGCAGCTTACTGAATGCTTGGGTCTGTTGAACATCCAGAGGTTGATCCGGGTGGGGAAGGAGGCCACAGAGCTTGGGTATTTATTTAGCTTGGGGTCAGATTCTCCCACTCCTAGGTTGTCCCTTACTCTTCCAGAGGAATTCCCAGTTGCATCTCTCCCCCTGCTAGGTTTCATCCCATTATGGTCTGAATTTTTGTTTTATGTAAAGAACTTCTCAAACCTCATAGGAAGGGTTCCTCTGATAGAAAAATAGCAAAAAAAAACATTTTTATTGTACTCTCAGATCTCTCCATTGAATATTACTTTTCTATCAGGTGTGCATATGATGTTTTATTTGATTTTTCAAGGATCATGAATCGGCTTCATAAAATAATTCAGCGACAATGACTTGAGTTCAGTTAAAACATTTTATTTATAATTTTTGTTTCATTCACACAAGGAAAAGCATTGCATACTATCCATCCTGAAAGTGGTGCAGATCCATTTTTTTTTTAGTGGCTCTCTATTCTCATCTGGCTCTTTGGCAGGTGAGCTCTGGTCAGTTTCCACCCTGGTTCTGCAGCCTGATGTCCCTGCTCACTGAAAGACTTCCCATTCTCCTCTCTGTAGGTAACAAGAAGCCCAGATTTCGAGTTCACCCTTTGCTACTGATGGTGGGACGTGCACGTTCCCACAGGTCAGAAAGGATTAACTAATCACGAGCACTTGGGCTTTTCTTGAGAAACCCTCTGCTGCAGCTGGCCAAATGTCCCGTGGCTGTGATCTTTCTGGATCCAGTAGCGGATCCAGGAACGCCAATAATCAGATCCTAGAGGCCAGGATCCTGCAGGCTTTTTTGTTCTACCGTTACAAGAACATTATCTGGAAATAAGGAAATAATCGAACAATTGATGTATAGTCTCAAGCAAAACATGCTTGACGCTTTCACTGTCAGATTAATAGAGACAGGTTGACAACCTTTTTGTAATACATTATATGGATTTTTGGAAGATTAGAGCATAAAGATGGAAACCTTTCAATATGAACTATATGTAAACGATATAAACTTTTCGATTTATCTTTAGCTGGAATATTACAAAGGACCAGAGGCATAGTTTCTAACTAGTGTTTTTTGTTGTGTACTGTGTGAGCAGGACTGTCCACGTGCCAGACAGGGTATAAAGTTAGGAAAGACTTGGGATGGGCTGACACTGGGAATGGAACGCACTCTGCCCTTCCACACGGACACAACCCGCTTTCCCATGTAGTAAACTAGACAATATCATCAGTTTGTATTTACTGATGCATTCCTTGAGATAGATGATGGATTGTCTTGGTTCACCATCTGACATTCATGAATTGGACGCGGTGTTAAAGCCCAAGGAGACATTTTTAATTAAGAGCACCAGGACAATTGTGGGTACCACCAAATGAATCAAGAGTAACGGTAAGATGCAGGAGGTATAAAACGAGGTGCTGGAGAAACCACTTTTGAAATTCTAGTCAGTGGGCAGGAAAATAGCTTCTCTGGTCTGAGAACGGGATTGTTCTGGGACTCAGGGGGGCCTGTGGAAAGAGCAGAACACACTAATGCACTGCTTCATACACCTCCTGCCTACCCTGGCTATAAATATCTATCCATAAGACATGAAATATGTTTTCTTAATCTTGATGACAGAACACCGGCATACCTTGCCAGAACCAGATGATGCCAATGAGCAATGTCTTGCAGTGCATTAGGCTTGTTTCTGTGTCCTCATTTATGATTCCTTGGTTATGCTCTTTATGTAAGCTAGGAAACGCGCTTTTTTGAAAATGCTATTCAGAGATGCAGAAGCCTGCTTGCCCTGAGAGTTTAAATGCACGATTCAAGAGGGAGGGTCCAATTCAGCAAGTGAGCGCATCTGCCCAGGCTCTGGTTTAAGAACTGAGAGCACATGGTGAACAGGGGCTGGTACAGCGAACTGCAAAGCCCGGCTTTTTCCGCCAACCCAATGGAAACCCGCTGAAACAGGATGCGCTGGGGGATTGCAGCTGCTGGGTCAGATTTTCATTTAACCTGGGCTGTCGTCGGCTTTCGCACCAGGCCCTCCTGGAGAGCGGCTTTTTGCGGTGCAGTGTTAGGAGCCCTGTTGCGGGCCAGTGTCAAGTCTCCACGCTGCAGCTGCCTTCTTTCATAGCCCGGCTGCTCAACTTCTGAGGGCACCAGGACTCGGGGGGGCTGAGACATGCCCAGAGAGATGATAACTCCCCGGCACAAGGACTAACCCAGATTTTTGCTCTGTCCATGGTCAGGCAGGTTTGTGGGAGAGCCCCCTGTTTAATTGTGCCATCGAGTTAATAATTAACGAGCGGGCTATGCCAAACTCCCGCTGCGGGAAGTCATTGGAATCTCCAGTATTTGACTGCTTACGTTGCTGTAATTAATGATTCCTACAGCCCAGCCTCACCCCAGCATTCCTGCGTTGAGTTTGAGGGTTTTGCTGTTAATGGGTTCCAGAGGCTCCCTGTTTTAAGATCAGTTTCTGCCGCTGGCTCACTTCATAATGTGTTTTTCCAAGAAAAGCAACTGATCTTTCTTGTGCTCTTCCCTCTAATGGAGACATAAAATCGAGGATCTGTCATCGCCTATCAATAGGAGGCCCTGTGGAGCACACTGCCAGGCGGTTTGGGGTAAAAGTGCCCTCCCTCCCTCCCTCTCAACAGCGTGGCTTCGCTCTGCCAGGCGGGACAGCTCCCGGGACCGGTGTGGAAAGCCTCAGAATCGGGCTAATGTACTGCAGTTAAAACCGCCCCGCAGAAGAGCGAGGCAAATTGACGGAAACAGAAGTCCTGTGGCATCAGCATGTGACGGCATCTTCGGTGCGAATTGGAAAAGGGGGTGACGTCACTTCTAGCGGCGCTTCCCCGACAGCCCGCACGGACTCGGGAGCGGTTTGCTACAGTGTGTGTGTGTGTACAGGACTACACTTCACTTATGATATCAGAACTGGACAGCGCCTCTTGCTGGGGACGCAGTGCCCCCTGTCGAGAATCGGGGGTATTTCAACTATGCACGGGGGGGGAGGGGTCTATTTTCTGAAATCCCGACGAGATTGTTAATACGAAAAAAAAAATTTCCCCAAATCCGATTTTAACCAATCCAAAATTAAGGGAGTACCCTGTAAGGATGCTTGCCTTATTTAACGTGGTTGCTGAAATGCAATTTGTTTCCAGCTGATATGATCCGGCACGATTCGTGTGGTATGAACGCGGTAACCAAACACCAACCATCTCTTATTTAACCATTTACAAATTAAAACTCATAAATAAAAAGTTTGCGTTTTGAATATTGCGCAGCGCGACATCTACGACATCACATTTCAGTTCAAACCCTGTTGTTGTTGTGTTTTTTTTTATTCTGATCATTAACATACCCTGTGGAGGAGAACATCGCTACCCTACTCAGCACAAACACCACCCCGCGCCCGGCCCCAGGCTCCCGGCTGGCTACCGCTAACAGTTCTGTTTGCGGTCTGGAACCCATCCGTCAATCAGCATGGAGACCCGCCCTGGGCATCAGTCTTCTGTGAATTGATTGGGCGGCGGTTCAGCCATGAGCTAGTAAATCCATTTTCCTTAGCGCTGATTGGTCCTGTGGCATGGCCGTCACCCATCTCGCACCGCCCACGCAGCAGTTTGTTTGGAGTGTGGTCCGGCGGGGATGGACAGGATGGTAGAGAGGTTGAGTCAGAGACTGGCTTCGCCGCAACACACGATTTAGGTGAGCTTCGCGATTTTCCCCCCCTTCAAACATTTATGAAAGTTTTTGCCGATTTTCTCCAGCTGTTCTCCCTGTTGTTTGGTTTGATTCTTTTTCATGAGAAAATGCTTTGGTTGAGCTTCAATTCAAGGGGCTCCAACGAACGTTTCACTCTATAATTAACTTAAGTCTGATCCGCTATTTTGCATGGAGAAGGAGCGGTTTATATTGTTTAAAGTCTCTGTCCTCTCGTAGTTTCCTGGAAGGATCGATATCCTGTCCTTATTTTGTTTCCAGTCGCCTTTTGCCGTTGGTAACAACACTGTTACCGTTGTGTCGGAAAACACGTCGGTACTCTCTGTAGCCGAGTAATGTTTCACTTTGATCCTGAAGTGCAACACCGCAAAAACGTTGCGTGCGGTGTGCATCAGTGCAATAATACCGACATAAAGTTGCCGTTCAAACGGTCTAGACTTCGAATTTAATCCCAAGAACTGATCTGGGGAAATCGTGTTCGCCACTGGGATGAAAAGAAACAGGACACACTGCAACCATAGCCTGGGATCCGAAAGAAGTTATTTGTTGCAATTTATAGTAATTTGGCTCGGAGTGTTCTAGGACGGCGCTGTTGGATTTGAGGAATGATTTGTTTATCGAGCGTTTTTTAGAGGCACGTTAGAAACCGGGGTACGGCGGAGAGACCACCTTGTTTTTATTATGGAGAAACTCCTTCACTGGCCGGGCTCCAGTCAGTTTTAATTAAGCAAATTGAACGCGCAGAGCTGCAAAACGGGCTGCACAGCGCTAATCTGCCCACCGATGCAGAAAATACGCACGTGATGATGATTATTGATAGGGTTCGCATTGTTCAGTCCAGCTTCGTCCCTTGCCCGGTCGACAACAGCGTGGCTAACTTTTCGCACCGTTACCCCCGGTGGGTGTGGGTTTCACGGATTTGCCCGCCTGTTTTCCCCCAAAGAACATCTGTGTTTACGGTGTTAGAATGCGCTTTCTGCCAATGAAATTGCGTTGCTTTCGTGCGAGTGACATTGCACAGCTTAGCAGTTTAATATATGCGGACCTGTTAAAGGAGCGTGGTTTTATTTGAAAAATCCACACCGTGCGCTCCGTCTCGCATTACCAAAGGCGCAGTACACGTTAGCTCTAGGAAACAAACCTGGGCTGTGTTATAATTTACTGGCAGCCCTAAAGCGTCAAGTTGCCGTGATTTCTGGATAGTCGACAAATACGACTATCCAGCCGGAGTCGCCGGTTGGAAAATTAGTATTCCAGTACCCGATAATGAGGTTATTATTTTTTTTTTAGAGGCGACCTCTCATGGCTGCCTCTCGTTATGAGATTAATGTGAACAACAACAGATGTTAAGAATGAAAGCAAAAGCTGTAGTTTTGGAGGCTCGGCGATCGTGATGATTGCGATGTTCAGGGGTGCTCTGTGGACAGCTGCCTTTCCGGTCACTTCTGTCGGCGAGTGTGGGGACGGTGAGCGGGTTTTGCGGCTGGCGTCGGAACTGTCCAGCCGCCGTTTCTGACGCTCGTCTAATGGCGAACACTAACTCGCCTTCATGGGGAAAAACCTCTCGTATTCCTTCTGTCTGGCCTCGAAAAACCCCTGTACTGTAAGTGTCCACTTCCCTTCTCTTTTCCTGTAGTTCCTATGTTTAGTGCGCGCTGATAGTTGGATAGCCCCCCCAAGAGCTTTCGAGTTCCTGCTTCGCCTCGGTGCCCAGGACGTGACTGCTCCGTCTTGGGGGGGTATTGTTCCTGAACCGCATCCTCGGACAGGAGTCCCTTCTCCGCACAGATCCACTCTTGGCACAACGCGACCTCCGTTAAAAATCCGTCTGGTGAAGAACAGGAAACCGTCTAGGTTTGCAGTCTAGTTTTCTGAAGATCCTCCAAGGCAACTGGGAAAGGAAGATTTATTACAGCATGGATCCAGAGTGAGGTTTAATGAGTCTGAAGACCCTAGAAGCCCAGAGACATTAAAAGTGGAAGTCGAGGTGCTATGCAGGCTCACACAGAATTTACAGTTACCTCTTTCAAAGTAGTTTTGAGTTCTAAAATAGCGTTAACTGAATGTTTATCATCGTCTCTGTTGTTATTTTTAAGGAACAAAAAACGTCCAATAAATATTCTTTAGAAAGATGTTTTAAAACACAGGTGAGAGGGATATTTTTAAATTCTTGAGTTAGTATATTTTAAATGAAAATATGGACCCTTAGCTCAACACAGGCTTGCCTCTTTTCTTCAGATGTGTAGGTTACCTCGTGTTGGCCTGGTGACATTCAAGGTCTGGTTGTCGTCGCCTTCTCTGTGTCTGGCGTGCTACAGCCAGCGTGAAGTGGATCACTTGTGAAGGCGGGTTTTGGACACGGTGTACGGGCAGTTGCCTTGCTGTTTGTCTGATATGAATGTGACAGTGTGTTTTGCGTTTCTTCACCCGTGAGCGCTGCAGGCTCAGGCCTGGCCTGGGGCGGCTGCGCTGGGGTACCGGGCCGCAGGCCGAGTCGTTGCTGGGCCCTGGCTCCTGGAGGGCCAGATTCCGCGCTCGCGGTGCTGGCGGAGTGCTTTGTGGCTGTAACCCCACGTGCTCGTGGCCGGGGAACAGCCCCTCCTTTCTCTCGGCTCGAGCTGAAAGAGGTCGGGGGTGGGGGGTGGAGGGGGTTGCCTTTGTCCTGTCGTGGATGCGCGGAAAAGTTGGTCCGTTGCCGTGTGAACGCGGCCTCAGTGACTGGACTCCTGAATCGCCCCCCCCCCCCCCTTTGTGCTGCTGGGGCCTCTCTGGAGCTGCTCCCTCAGGGTCTCCTCCTGGAGACATTAAGAATTCACTCGGAGAGTTTCTTTCCTTAATGAGAGGCTTTCATCTCCTACCTCCATGTTGTCCCAGCTCCAGCTCCTCTGCCTGGTGTAACGGGGCTGTCAAGCTCCTGGTTTCCCCTCGATGTGTTTCTGTGAAGATCCCTGTGCTTCTGCTCCCGGTTCCCTTGCCTCTATTGTTTTTGGAGATGACAGGCTTGGAGCGGCGAGGCCGCGAGGAAGTCAGCCACCCTGATGGGATTGCTGCTGAAGTCCGGGATTTCCTACTCTGTTCTCCTTTTAATCGCTGAGCCAGACCTTCCTTTCTTTCATCCCCTTTTTGGAATATTTGACTCCTTTCCAATTAGCATACTCTTTTTCTCGCAAATGTTCCTTCTTTGAATGAGCATACATGGCACCTGTGTTTACAACTGTTCAGTAAATTAGTCAGTTTTACAGATCCAGTGGGTGGTTATCATGATCTCGTTTCGTGTAAATATGCACTTATAATCAATAAAGATTTAAACTATCCGTTTAAATCTGTTAATTTCCTGGGTTTCTGTTTCATCTATTGAGTTTGTACAGTACCGTGCCCCATAACATTCCTGAAATGGGCGATTCCGGTTTGTGAGATTCTCTCCGCTGTTTTACACAGATGTTCGTTTAAGAAAAAGGGAGAGTTTGATGCAGTCTTCTGTTTTGTGCAGGTTGTTTCAGTATCTGTGAAATGTGAGCAGCTCAATTATTTATGATACACCTGAGACATGTATTTCGGGGTTGGCGATAAGACCATGCACTTTAATAGACATACGTCTCATTTCATCCTGTGGCGTGTATTCATGCAGATGTTTTCCTCGCTGCTGTGCGGGCTGTTCCTTTGTTACATAACCTAGTAAAGTGACATGCTCCATGAAGATTCCAAAGACTCCGGAGAAACCACATTAACTTGTTTTGTAAATGATGGTGCTTTCTACTTAAATATCACTGACAACTGTCCTGAAGCCCATCTGCATGCTGTGCAGCTATGTGGAGGTTTTATTAGCTTCCTGTAAAGACAGCCAGAAAATGGGACTGGGACTAAAAGAGAAGGGGTCTCTGAGGAAGAGGGAATTGGGTGGTCTCTCGCATCACCTCAGCAGGATGTGTTGACTTCCATGGGCGTTGGGAGAAATCTGCGGACTTAGCTAAGGCTAAACGTCTCCCTGCTGTGTGCAGTGTCACATCGCTGTGTCACATCAGGGAGGGAGCATACCTGCTTGTGTGCTCAGGGCTGACCCCTGGCTCCCCTCCCTGCTGAATTCCTGTTTAAACAGGAAGCGAGCAGACAGGGGGCTTCAGACAACTGGTGCAGGAAAACATCAGGCTCACTGTCTCCTGCCTGCTCCATAAAAAGACTTCCCCTCGTTCTCCCTTCCTGTTTTTTATGTGCTGTGCTGTGAGTGCAATGGCTGGGGGCAAGGAAGTCTGACCAAGCACGAGATCCGTGCTCAGACCCAGCACACGCGTGCCAATCACAGCAGAGGCTAGGAGTCCTGTGCAGTGGTGACAGGACCGATAGACACGCTTGAGTTAGACAATTTGCCGTTCAGCTGACTAGGAGCGGGGTTTCGTACTTGAAATTCTGGTTAGCTTTAAATTCTGCGGAGTGTGACCTGGAAGCACCAAGGACACCTGCAAGGCAGACATTATGTTCCCATCCACATGATCCGAATTATTAATAATATAGTGCTTTCCTGGATGCTCCACTCAACCACAGCCAGTGTGCAGCCCCACCTGGATGATGCAATGGAAGCCGAAGTGTACCAGTCCGCTCCCCACACATCAGCTTTCAGTGGGGAGGAGAACAGAGTGATGAAGCCGGTTCAGAGCTGAGGATTTTTAAGAGGCCATGATTTGTAAAGGGTGGGACGCTGGGTTAACACCCCTACTCTTTTTGAGAAATGCCCTGGGATTTTGAATGACCACGGATAGTCAGGACCTCGGTTTTAGGTCTCATCCAAAGGATGGCGCCTTTTTTTTTTTTACAGTATGGTTTCCCTATCACCTACTGGTCCCACTAACACCTCTTCCAGCAGGAAGCTTAGCTTTCCCAGGAAGTCTCCCATCCTGGTACTGACCAGGCTCACACCTGCTGAGCCGCCGTGGGCTGCCAGTTGGGAGTTGCAATATATCGGATCTTTTCAGTTGTGGTAGTGATTCATA